GCATACAGAAATCATACATAAAACATAAATACTTGGACCTAGCTATTACATCGAGGTAAAGTTTATCAATTGCATTAAAAAATTTAGAAGGTTAAAGGCCGCCATACACGAACAGCTTGAACCGGCTTGAACCGGCTTGAACTAGACCTTAGAGTCCGACAAAAATGTTACTTGAATATCAGTAATTCCAGGAACATAGCTACATTTAGAAACAACACACCACTTCTAGTTTTTATCTGTACTGGAGGAGACATAAATAAAACACATCAACAACAAATAAAACATTTACATGTTTGTTTTACGTAAATCACCTGTATAAAGTTTTCCGTTGAAAACAAATAAAATGTCACTTCTATGCTAACAATATCGCTTGTAACTCAACTATTGCACATCACAATAAGTAAAAAATAATTATTACTCAATTACTTTAAATCGTACAGAGTACAAGTAGTTATAAGGTTTTCCAGTTATAGTTATGCTACACAAATTAAAATAATTAACTAAATTTAAACATTTGATCGTAAGTTAACTGTCACTAACTTCTATCCTACTAATATTATAAATGCGAAAGTTTAGATGGATGGATGTTTGTTAGAGTTTGTAGCCTAAATGGCTGAACGGATCTCGATGTCATTTGGTATAGATTTATTTACAAGGAAATGGCTAGAGGAGATGGATTATAAGACCTGTGAAAATCTATTTCAAAATAATTTCTAAAGTAACACACACACACAACCATACAACATGCAGAGGCCATTATATTCAACAAGCACATACATAACACACAATTCACAATCACACGTGCACACACACACACACACACACACACACACACACACACACACACGCACATACACACACGCACATACACACACGCACATACACACCCACACACACACGCGCACAAATCATTCATCATACACGCGGGAAATATGAGGGAAAAAAAACCATCTAATTGTTAATTATAATTGTTTTATTCGAAAATGTTATTAACACCTTAAATTTTCTTGTACCTTTTTTCAA